ATTTGATGCAATTACATAATTTTTAAGTGGATAGGTTTCCTTTGAATTATTTAATAAAATAGCATAATTTGATATGTGCACAATTTTACAAATCTACCAAAAGCAAGAGTTTTAAAACTTCATACATGCATTTCCTTCTTCTCAAGTTTCTGGTCTCTAAGGCCACTGGCCTGACCGGGTAAAAATGCTTTGTGTGTCTTTACTGACCCATGGCCTCACTGTGGTGGTAGTTGCATCGTTCAGAATGGAGACTGACCTGCGACACAAGTGTGAGAACTCTTCTTTTTTTTTTTTTTTTTAAGAATTATTTTATTCAACTTTATTTATTTGTTTGTTTTCATTTGAACAGAGAAAGACGGGGGCTGGAGGGGGTCTCAGAAAACAAGCCACCAGGTCCGGGACTCAAACCACAGTCAGCCATGTGGCAGTCCAGCGCCTTTGACCACCACACCACCTGCCAGCCCCCAGATTTTAGAACTCTTGCTCTTTGTGCTTGGGTAAGCAACTTAAGGTTTCTTTGGGTTCAGAAACTTAAAACTTTTAACTCTCTTTAGGGTGGTTATCTTGTGATTAAAGTTCATGGGCGCTTATCTGCACGGTGGGTGTTTTTATGATTTGGCATACAGGATAGTGAGCGTGTGGCCAAGATATTTTTCGTGTTGAACAAAAACTTAACAGATGGAAGTGGTAATTGTAAGGTACTTATTTTAAGTTGTCAGTAATGAATCAGTCTAGCTTGTGACTGAGTCAGTAACCCATACAAAGGGAAGTCGAAGAGCATACTAATAATTTCTAATAAAATATGATATATAACAGGAAGCTGCAGAGAACTGACTATAATTGATTCTCAGAATCGTTTAATCACTCTACCAGGGCCCTGTTGAGTTTGTTGTCAGGGACTAAAGTCTTTTAAAAGTATACGTCTGTTTCTCGCTCCAGAGAACCTGGATTTATATGCCAGGTGTTGATGCTGAACTAGGACTCTTGAAATTTGTCTTTAAGTCATGACAACTTTTATTTATTTCATTTTATTTTTTTAGAGAGATTTGTGCTATAGGGCATGTGTGCTCACCTGAGGTAGAGAGACAGAAAGGAGAAATCACCCCCTAGGGAGAGGGCCACACCACAGTCTCTCCTCCTCCATTCTCCTCTCAGGATTTTGGGCATGCATGCACATGCGCCCAATGTGAGTTTTAAGTCACCAGGTCCAGGACTCGAACCACAATCAACTACGTGGGAGTCCAGTGACATAACCATTACTCCATCTGCTGGTCCCCCATGGCAGCATTTTATTAGGTCATTGGAAAAGTCATGAAGTATTTTTCTCTTTTTCTAAGCAAAAATGCATTGTGACTTTCCTAATGACCCAATAATATTGCTCCTTCTGGATCAATTGATTGATTATTTAATTTATTTATTTTAGGTTTTTGCCCTAGGGCATGTGTGCCCACCAGAGAGAGAGAGAAAAAGACACACACACACACACAAACAGAGAGGGAAAGTGAGAAATCATCCCCTGGGGGACAGTCACGTCGTAATCCCTTCTGCTCCATTCTCCTGAGATTTTGGGCATGCACACACACATGCCTGGCATGGTTTTCAAACTGCGGTTCCAGGGCTTGAATTGTGGTCAGCCATGTAGCAACCCAGCACCGTAACCACCATGCCACCTGCTGGCCTCTGCATGTAAGATATTTTGAGGTAAGCACAGAAGTCTTGTACATGTGCTTTCAGAATAGAGTCAGACTCCCATTCCTGCCAGTATGTGTGCTGTCGGTGTGTCAGAGCTGCATCGGAGAGGCCTCACCCAGGGGGGATAGCACCCAGTCCGCCAGGGATGCCGCACCCTCTTGGCTCTCACAGGCAGCGTGTGAAGCACAGGGACTGTTGCGAAGTGAGTTTGGCCACTGGTGGTAGGCAGATAGCGTCCTGCTTGCTGTTCTGCTTATTACGTTTTCTCACTAACTCCCTCAGTCACTGTGGGAGGCAGTGCTGTAGGTGTGATCGCCATGACAGGCAGAGCCCGCCCTTGGAGCCTGGTGTGGTCCAGGGCCGCTGTGCATCGCGCCGGCGGCAGGATTTGAATCTCAGCTTCTTGACTGAGCCCATTGCTCTCGTGGCCAGGTCAGGCATGGCCCTCAGCGTGGGATCTGAGACCTGCCTCTTTTGCTGCTGGCTTTGCTCTTTTCCTGAGCTATTTAGAAAGGTCCCTATTCATGGGACCAGCAGTTAGCGTAATGGCTGTGTCGCTGGACTCCCACGTAGGCGACCACGGTTCGTGTCCCAGACCTGGTGGCTTAAACTCACGTCGGGCGTGTGTGCGTGCGTGCCCAAGATCCTGAGAGGAGAATGGAGGAGAAGGGATTGCGGCGTGGCCATCCCCTCTGGGGGGTGATTTCTCGCTTTCTATCTCTCTGTCTGTCTCTGTCTGGCGAGCGCACACACCCTATAGCAAAAACCTCTCCAGATAAAGAAAGAAAGATAGAAAGGTTCACATTTGTATCAGTATAAATGGGGATGTTGCCTTAAGAGTGGTCTCACATTGGAGGCAGCATTGGCTCATGTTGTGGAGAAGGTCCACAGTCACCTCGTGTCCCCTTCCTCTGACCAGAATGCTTTTAGCTTTGCTGTCATGCACAACTCATTCCTCACCGCCTCTGTTTCTTCCCGATTTGGGCTCTGACATTATCTTCAGCATGTCTTTTGCAAAAAAAAAAATTAAACGAAACTTGTCTCTCTTCCTCCTTTTGTAATCTCATCTCTTGATCAATCTGCTTCCGTTAAACCAGACCTTTTCGAGTGGCTACAAAGTCCTACCTTGAGGGAGTGGGGGCTAGAACAGAAAACGCAGCTGTGGGTTAAAGTAAAAGAAGTTCCTAGGAATTCTGGAAACTGAAATGTTGGTTGGAGAGCGCAGCCCTGTGCTTGTCAGGAGGCAGTGGCTGAGCGCGTCCCACTAGCTGTCTGCATCTGGGGAAGCCGTGCTTGTCAGGAGGCAGTGGCTGAGCGCGTGCCACTAGCTCTCTGCGCCTGGGGAAGCCGTGATGGCGCAGCTTCCTCATTCTTGGGACTCGAGGTCGGGCCTGTGAACATTATCTATGAAGGGCGTGAGGTTTCATCTGACACCATTGAGAGTGAAACACAAACTCATGTATGTGCGATTGCACTTTAAACCCACTTCTGTTCATTGTGTCCGTCACCATTTTGTATGATATATATAGATTTTTTTTCACTGCCAGAGTGTGTGTACTCTTACTAAAGAGAAAAAGAGAAAGCAGCTCCAGTGGGGCATGGTTCCTTCTCCATTTCTACATCTGGTCAGGATTTAGGGTTTGCACACACACACCCACTATGTTTTTCTAAGTACCAGAATCAGGAACTGAACTGTGGTCAGCCATGTGGAATCCAGCTCCCTTAACCGCTGGGCAGTGGACGCTGGCCCCATTTTGTATGTTAAACATTTGGATACAACTTAATGTTAAGGCATCTCTTAAGTTACGGTCATCCCAGTTTTCAGGCTGCAGTGTGTCCGATGATGGCCAGTGAAACAGCTGGATTGCAAGGCCCCGGCCCCTGCTCCCAGGCTGTGTCTGCACACACTGCTCCTGTGTGTCACCCACAGCCAGTCAGCCTGTCCTTGAGGTCTAGAGGAGAATGGTGCAGAGGAGTGCACAGCGAGACCACGGCCACGGTTAAGTGCTATTCTGGACATGAGAGTATTCCAGATAACAGGAGCTTAACCTGTACTCAAACAGTGTACCTTTTTTTTTTTTTTCAACTAGAGAGTGTGGGCACTCACCAGAAAGAAAGTGGGAAAGCACCCCCCATGGCAGTGGCCATGCTGCAATCTCTCCGTTCTCCTTCCGGGATTCTGGGCGCACACGTACACGCCCAGGTGGGCGTGTGTGCTCTTCACGCTTCCTTTGCTCGCTTTCTTGTTTCAGTCTCTCCCAGACAAGGGCAGACCATGCGTACAGCAGCGGTGTTCTCAGAACAACCATAAAACGACGAGGGACTACCAGGAGTAGGTCGTTCATTGTGGGTTCTTAAGGTCGGCTGGAAAATCTCTAGAGAAGGCCGAAAGGTTCTCTCTGTTGCTGCTCCCTGCTGTGATGCCTCTGTCCCAGGTCGCACACTTACTCTGTCACATTCCCTTTTTTCTCCAGTGCCGGTGTTTACTGTTTTCCAGAATCTCTCCTCCAATATTTTTTCTTTAAAAAAAAAAACAAATCTTGGGACAAGCAGTTAGCATAATGGCTATGTCTCTGGACTCTCATGTAATAGACTGCGGTTCACGTCCCGGACCCGGTGGCTTAAACTCAGTCTAGGCACCTGTGTGTGCATGCCCAAGATCCCGAGAGGAGAAGGGAGGAGAAGGGATTGCGGCATGGCCATGCCCCCCGGGGAGTGATTTCTCTCTTTCTGTCTCTATGTCTCTGTCTGGCGAGCACACGCGCCCTATAACAAAAACTTCTCAAAAAAAAGAAATGAAAAAGAAAAAAAATTTTACTTTTTTCCATGTTATTCTTTCTTTCTGCTTTCCTACTGAGAGTTTAATTCTCTATTATGAACTTCAGCCTTGATTTCTAGAGATAATTTTTTCTTTTTAAAAAATTTTTAAAAGAATTATTTGTTTATTTATTTATTTTTAATTTGCTACAGGCAGAGCACATGTGCTCACCAAAGAGAGACAGAAGGGGAGAGAGAGAGAAAAGGCAAGAAAGCAAACAATCAGGTCCAGGACTTGAACCGCCGTTGGCTACATGGGAGTCCACACTCCAACCACCATGCTACCTGCTGATCCCTCTTTTTTAATTTTAACAGTTTAACATAGTACTCGTTGTTTGCAGTTACAAGAAGTCTTAATTTAATCCATGTCACTTACGATAGTACTTCAAAGAAGGTCTTTCACAAAGAAACCTGAAAGCCTGTTTCATGGACGCCCTTTTAAAATGGAAAAAGAGATCATTCTTTTTTCCCCTTGTCTTCTTTCTTTTCAGGTTTTGAATGAAGAATGTGATCAGAACTGGTACAAGGCAGAGCTCAATGGGAAGGATGGCTTCATCCCCAAGAACTACATAGAGATGAAACCACATCCGTAAGTCAGGCTCCTGCAGCCTCCGATGGTCAGACCCACCTGCTTGTTTCCAATACTGTTTTTCAAACTGAGATCACGGGTGAACGTCAGACTTTTTATTCTGTTTGTTTAGGGAATTAACAAAGCATGTTGATACTCATATTGATAGTAGTGTGCTTTGGTAGTAGTATAAAATGAAAAATATTACACATTTTAGGTTGATAATAACTGTCAGTGAGCTTCACAATGAAAAGAATAGTTTTGCAGGCCCATAATTCTTTTTCTACGAAACCTTTGGGGCCAGATGTGCTTCATAATTCTGCAACTTTTGAACTTAAAAAAGGTACTTCCCACATGGTTTGGTGGTCATGTTTGTTGACCTTAGGGACAATTTTTGTTCTTTTAGTTTTTCTGAAGGGCATGTATACTCCCCAGAGAGGGACAAAGGGAAAGTACGAAAGCACCCCCCACTCCTGTGGGAATGGTCCCACTGCAGTCCCCTCCTCCATTTCTCCCATCTAGATATTGCGCACATGCTCTCACACCTGGTGTCCTCATCGGGACATGCCGTGTACTTGGTTTAACCCCAGGTGGTCAGTAAAAGTTTAAGACGCTCGGGTGTGCTGACAGCCCCCGCAGCAGCCTGTTGGCCCCTCCCCCGTTGTCACTGCTCCAACATCTAGCTGTCGTTTTTCTTCCCCTAAATACTGGAGCAGAGATCTCAGCCCCACATCATGCTTTCATCCTTTATATTTCCCCAGATGCCTGAAATATCCTACACAGATCGTAGAGCTAGAAGTTCCGTCAGGATCATCTAAGCCGTTCTTTATTCTGCAAATCACGGAAGCGTCTAGTGTTCTTTTTTCAGTGTCAGCAGTCTATGAACGTAGCTAGTTATTTTGTAGTTATAGTAGAAGACACAATGCCGAAAACCAGAGCACAGTGTATGAAGTCATCCCCCTACTCAGTAGCTCTTGCAGAGGTCACAGCCACTAGTGATTAAATGTGGGCCAAACCCAAGCTGTTGTAAAAAGATGATACTCCTCTTAAAACTCTCTGTTAAGATCATGTCTTGGTCAGTAAACTTTTTTTTTTTTAAAGAATTACTTACTGGGGGGACCAGCAGCTAGCATAATGGCTATGTTGCTGGACTCCCACGTAATCGACCGTGGTTTGAGTCTTGGACCTGGTGGCTTAAACTCACGCCGGGCGCATGTGCATGCGTGCCCAAGATCCGAGAGGAGAATGGAGGAGAAGGGATTGTGGCGTGGCCATCCCCCCTGGGGGGGTGATTTCTCGCTTTCTGTCTCTCTGTCTCTCTCTCTCTGTGTCTGGCGAGCGCATGTGCCCTATAGCAAAAACCTCTCCAAAAAAAAAAAAAGAATTACTTATTGGGACTAGCAGGTGGCATAAAGGTTAAGGTGCTGGGCTCCCACATAGCCGACTACGGTTCAAGTCCCAGACCCAGAGGCTTGAAAATCACGCCAGGCACATGTGCGTGCATGCTCAGAGTCCTGGGAGTAGAATGGAGAAGAGGAGATTGCAGTATGGGGGTGATTTTTCTCTTTTCCACTCACCATCTCTCTCTCCCGCCAGCAAGTGCACATGCCCTATGACCAAAACCTTCAAAAGATTATTTATTGGGAACCAGCAGTTAGTGTAATGGCTATGTCGCTGGATTCCCACGTAGTCAACTGCGTTTTGCGTCCCAGACCCGGTGGCTTAAAACTCACACCAGGCACGTGTGCATGTGTGCGTGCGTGCCCAAGAGCCCAAGAGGAGCATGGAGAAGGGATTGCGGTGTTACCATCCCTCCTGGGGGGGTGATTTCTCGCTTTCTGTCTGTCTGTCTCTCTCTGTCTGTCTGGCGAGTGCATGCACCCTATAGCGGGGGAAAAAAAAAAAAAAACCCCTCCAAAAAAAATTTATTTAATTTTATTATCATCCTATTTAATTTGCTATAGGGTTCGCACCAGAGAGAGATGGAGAGAGAGGGAAAATGAAAAAGCAAGCTACCAGGTCTGTGACTTGCACTGTGGTTGGCCACGGGGGAGTCGAGCGCCCCAACCACCATGCCACCTGCTGGCCCCATACGTAAACGCTCACAGAGTAATGATTACTTGGCAGGGACTGGTACGTCCTGGGAAGTTACAGCTGAGGTTAGCTCTGGGTTTAGTGAAGTTGCCATGTAGTTCATAGGAGTGCTCTCTCAGACCACATCAGGGGGCCTTAGCCTGGAGGTTGCAGACTGGCTAGCCTGCAGGTCAGGAGTGGGAAGATGACCCAGGCCGTGATGGGATGTCCTCAAGGAAACTTCTTTTACTTTGAGGAGAGCCAGGTACCTCATAGTGGCTCAGTAAATGTTTCACTGAATAATGTTCAAGGTAAAATCTAGTCTAATTGTAGAGTATATTTTTCTAGTTTTTGTCTGGAACTAGTAAACGCTATCTTCATAAATGAGTTAGATCTCCCCTCAAAAGATTTTAGGCTTCTTGGAGAATTGGTCTTCTGTTTTTATACCCCATTATAATTTGTACACTACTTTTGCACGTCATAGCTCAGCAAATACTTTTTGTTTTTAATTTATTTAATTCCATTTGTTATTGTCTCTTTTTTTAAATTTGACCAGAGAGAGAGAAAGAGAGAGAAAGAAAAAGTGAGAAAGTAAGCCACCAGGTCCATGACTCAAACCACGGTCGTCCTTGTGGGAATGCAGCACCTTTCACCAGCGTGCCACCTGTGGGGCCCCCAGCAAATACTTTTTAATTGATACTCAGGCCCGAATTCTTGACAGTTAAAGGTTTTTTAAAGAATTCTTTTCTTTGACTTTATTTATTTTTATTTGACCAGAGAGGGTCAGAGAGAGAGAGAGAGAGAAAGCAAGCCACCAGGTCTTGGACTTGAACCTCAGTTGGCCATGTGGGAGTCCAGCACCCTTAACCCCCACACCACCTGCTGGCCCCGTCAGTTAAAGTTTTAAGTATTAAATCTTTAAAGGCATTGTGCACAGGATTCCTAGGTCCCTGTCGGAGGTTTGGTATGCCCCTCATTTGAGGTTTCTCTAAAGTCGGTTGAAGGTGAACGTGGACCATGCTCAAGCTCAAGTGGTGGAAAACAAGAAGCTCCAAGAGAGTTCCTTACAAATTCCCCGTGGAAAGCACTCAGGGCAGCTTTGCGTTCTTACGCCACTCAGTGTCATACAGGTTGAGTGTCCCTTATCCACAATGTTTGAAGCCAGAAGCATTTCAGATTTCACATTTTTTTCAAATTCTGGTATGTTTGTCTTTACATAATGAGATATCTTGGGGATGGGAGCCAAGTCTAAATGGAAAATTCACTTACGTTTCATTTATGCCTATACATATAGCACAAAGGTAATTTTATACAGTATGTGTAAGACCAGCCCAGAGTGCAGTGGTTAAGCTCTGTGTATTGGGAGCCAATCCACATGGTCCACGTGGTTTGAGTGGCAGCCCCATTGGCTTGAGAGGTGTGCCAGGTACATGCGCACGCTCACAAATCCTGCCAGAATAGAGAAATAGAGGAAAAAGGATTGCAGTGTGATCGTTCCCCAGTTGGGGTTCTCTCTTTCTTGTGCCTGGGCCCTGTAGCAATTTTTTTTTAGTTGTATTGGAGTGTTTGACTGCAGGCCATCACATGGGTCAGGTGTGAAATTCTCCCACTTACGGCATCAAGTTAGCACATAAAATGTGTTGGATTTGGGATTTTTGGATTAGGGTTTTGGGCCTGTGTTTCCTTGGGGGCTGGTAAGGGCCTTTCATGGGCAGTATCAGGGAGTACCCTCCACAGAACCATGAGGCAGAGGTTTTGGGGAGTGGGTGGGGCTAGTGGTCACATACCATGTCCTCCCTGGGTCCCTTGCAAGCCAAATTATCCACTTCTATTTTCTTCAAACCATCTTCAAAATAAACCCTAGATTAAGGATTCTAAACTTTCCTGTCAATACTTTAGGTTTATGGGCCACATACAGTCTCTGTCCTGTCAGGTACCCTTTTTTAATTTTTCTTTTTTAACAGCCCATTACGTGTTAAAAACAGCCTTGGGTTGTAGACTGTACTAGAGGACAAATTTGGGCTATGGGCCATAGTTTGCTGGCTCCTGCTCTAGATCCAAGGATAACAGAACAAACTCAAGTTCCTTTTTATTTTTATAACTTTAGTCTGAAAGGGGATCCAACAGAACATCATGCTGTAATTTTTATATTAAATAAAATATCTGTGTCTTGGGACCAGCAGTTGGTATAATGGCTGTGTTGCTGGATTCCCATGGAGTCGACCGCGGTTCGAGTCCTGATGCAGTGGCTTAAACTCACAGCAGGTGCATGTGCGTGCATGCCCAAGATCCAGAGGAAAATGGAGGAGAACGGATTGCAGCATAGCCATCCCCCCTGGGGGGCGATTTCTTGCTTTCTGTCTCTCTCTGTATTTCTGGTGAGCACGCACGTCTGATAGCAAAAACCTCTCCAAAAAGACTGTTTCAGGTAATATAGGCATTTTGAACCTGACTTGAGAAAAGATAGGAGAGGCCACCTTCCCTGGAATAAAGAACTGCGGAGCAGGGGCTGGCAGGTGGCATGGTGGTTAAGAACATTGGACTCCCACATGGCCAGCTGTGGTTCAAGTCCCGGACCTGACAGCTTGCTTTCTCACTTTCTCTTTCTGTCTTTCTGTCTCTGTCACTCCTCTCACTCTGTCCCTCTCTGGTCAAAAAAATAATAATAAATTAAAAATAAATAAATAATTCTTTTTTTTTCTTTTCTTTTTTTTTTTAAGAGCTTTGGGGCAATAATTGGTCAGCAGGCATCCAGCCCAGGCTCAGCTGTGGTGTCTCAGTGACGGGCTGAAGGGCAAGCTGTGCTCATCCACTCTGAGCGCTGAAAAGGGAAACTGAGCACTTAAAACCCTTATTTACTTGCCACATTGCTAAAAAGGCCACGGTTGGAGCAGCTGCAGGACCTGAGCAGGAAAGCGCTGCATGGTGGCTCAGGCCACGTGGGAGGC